GAATCACTAGAGGTCTTCTCTATCTACATCAAGATTCTCAATTGAGGATCATACATGAAGATCTCAAAGCAAGCAATGTTTTGCTTGATAGTGAAATGAACCCCAAATTTTCAGACATTGGCATGACTAGAATATTTGGTGGAGAACAGTCTGAGGGGAACACATAGAGAGTGGTTGGAACCTAATGAGTTCTATCTCTATGGTACCTAATTTACTACAAATTCCCTGCTGATATGATTTATCTTGATTGTTCTCTGCAGTGGTTTTATGGTGCTAGAATATGAGCAATTCTCAGTAAAATCCTTTGTTTTCAGCTTCGTGAAACTGTTACGGGAGATAATAAGTGGGAAGAAGAATAAAGGGTCTTATCATCTCAACCATAGGCTTAACCTCATTGGCAATGTAAGTATCATTTTCAAGAAAAACCTTTTTACCTTCCTTAACTGGCACATGAAAGAGTTGATAATTTGTATTTAGGCATGGAGATTGTGGTAAGAAGGAAAGCCTTCAGAACTGATTGATTCATTTGCATGAGAGTCCTGCACTCTATGTGAAGTACTAAGATGCATCCACATTAGTCTCTTATGTGTGTAACAATACCTTGAGAACTGGCCAAGTATGTCATCTGTGGTTTTGATGTAGGGTAGTAAGACTGCACTCTTACAAACCAAAGAACCCAGTTTCCTTGTTGACAAGAAATCACTCGGAACAAATTCTTCATCCAGCCTGAATCATCGTCAACCAATGCACTTAGCCACTTGGTGTTGAAGCCACAATAAAGGTTACTCAAAAACTACATGGCTTGTGCATGAGTGCATGCCATGTACCTGAACTATTATTTCAATTTTCTACTCTTCTATCATAGAATATTCTGAGTAGCAAACTGGAACTAATTTCCACTTCTATAGTTGAATGTTGCAGCTGCAAGTAGCAAACTAGAACAAATTTCTACTCTTAATGATGACCGTTTTCATCCAATTTCAGTTTGCTTGTTTTTGCTTTTTAATCTTAAATAACCAATTAAATGTGGCAGTAGGTGAAGTGGAACCCGTAAAATGCAAGACGGGTCCTGTTTTCAATGTTAGTGCCATTTGCTTCAACCCAAAGCCTATGTTAGATGCCATGTTAATAAGTGCATGTGCATGACTGGACTTCTACCTCATAAACCTTGCTGTTTTGCTTGGCTTTTACAGTGATAGCATTTTTGCTCGATGGTGTTTCTTTGAAGTATGTATGTGGTATTTTTAGGGGTGCTTGGATTGGGAGAGAGAAAGAGAAGAGAAACAGACTGTTAGATTAAATGGGTAGGAATTTGGGTGAAGTTAATAATATGAATCAGCATGCTTTTGATTGGTATTTTCTGTTAGTGGGTTCTTTCTGTCCATATTTTGGTATTTTCTGTTATTGAGTTGCTTGTATTGAATTTGCATTCCTCAAGTGGAAATTGGAATGCATGTGCATGACTTGTAATGAACCTAGACCTTGGGTTGACTATATAACATGCCTTTTGGTTTTTCTTGCCTTGAAACTTCATGAGCGAATATGACAGACCATGCTTACTGGGATTTTACCTTGCCCCTTTATTTTTTCCCCTCCTTTCAGATATTTAGCTTGTGGCTTGTCACAGCTTAGCAAGCTTTGGATATAAATCATTGATGCTGTTAGTGTGTAGGAGTTAGAATCCTCATTATACTTGAAAGTCGAGCAAATTGGTGTATTATCAAAACAGGAGGTTGCAGGTTATGACTTCTTTATATATTTTTGAAAGGTACACACATATGCTCTTTTGGAAATCATTTTTCACTGTACATTGATGAGTATAAAATGAAAGGAGCTTGGCCTTGGCTTTTCCCAATCTTGTTTTGAACAACTTAGCATACCTTTTGTTTACAAAATTTGAAAAGATGGTTTCAGTACTTGAATTGCTTTATATATACCTTGTTATAAATTTCTAGTTTCTATTACTCCTGCTTCATATGTTTTCATTAGTATGATTCTAGTTTCCTTAAAGGATTAAAGGAAACTAAAACCAGGGGCATTACAGTTTAGAACATTCAATTTGTTGTAATGGCTTTAGTTTTGTTTTATTAAAAAGAGATAAAAGAGCATTTATAATATATTTTTTTGGTACATCTTTAAGATGAGCTATACAAAAAGGGATAACTCTTCCCTTTTCCTAAATCCATCCTCAAGAAATATCAAAAGAGCACATGAAATTGTTAGGGAAGAAAGAGTATATCTATGAACTACAATATGATTCCTAATTAGTCATGCATCTAGAAAACAGAGAACTGTCATCAGTCATTTTAGGGAAGACTTGCAAACGTGCTGTGTTTTCAAGGGTAGTTGAGGTAAACATGCTGTGCTTTCAAGGGTAGTTGGGACTGGATAAGGCTCTCAATTTGTCAGCTAGAAAACAGAGGATTGCTGTTGGTCATTGCAGGGAAAACTTGCACATAGACATGACAAATGGGTTGGGTTAGGTCATTATGGTTATGTGTTAGATGGATTCGATCAAACGGGTTTACAAGCATAAAGGAAGGTAGCTATTGACCTACACATTCACGAGTTATGAGGTTTTGGCCCTACATATGTGAGTTGCAAGTCAAATGGATTGAGTTAATTAAATTCATAGGTGGAGTCTGCTTGTGCAAACTAGCTTGTCAAAACTCTAGACTAGTGCATTTTTGGATATATATTTACCCTTGTAATTTGTAAACCTGATGCCATTATTTGGAAAACTAGAAAACCAATGGACATTCCATTTTTTATTAATAGCTTGAACATCTTACTTCTTTTCTTCTCTAGATTCTCATATGGAACTTATATCATCACCTCATTCTAAAATCTTAGTGATGGCAGAACCATAGTTTCTAGTGATGGAAGCTCTGAACTGGGGTTCTTCAGTTCTGGAAGCTCTGGTAGGAATCGTTACTTGGGAATTTGGTTCAGGAAAGTCTCAGTTCATGCTGTTGTTTGGGTTGCAAACAAGTGCAGCCCATTAAACGACTTGTTAGGTGTTTTGGTGATAAATAGCACAGGCAATTTAGTGCTCCTCATTCAAAGCAGGAGTGTTGTTTGGGCAGCAAATTCAAAGATAGATGCTCAAAACCCAGTAGTGCAGCTCCTGGATTCTGGAAATCTTGTTCTAAAAGATAGAATTGCTGGTAAATCAGAAATACTTTTTTGGCAAAGCTTTGATTATCCTACTGTTACTTTGCTGGCGGGAATGAAACTTGGATGGGACTTAAGGGTTGGTCTTAATAGACAACTATCAGCATGGAAGGCCCAAGATGATCCATGCCCTGGAGACTTCACTTATGGGATGGAGCCATATAATTTTCCTGATACTGTTATGTGGAAAGGCTCAAAGAAGTACTTCAGGTTAGGACCCTGGAATGGCAATGGATTCAGTGGTCAATTGCAGTTCAATACCAAACAGTATTTAATGTTCAACTTGACCTCAAATGAAGAGGAGACTTACTTCATGTATTACATCAGTAACATATCATTAATCACAAGGCTTACTTTAACCATACTTCCAGTAGGGTAGAGGGCTCCATATGGAAAGAAGATGCTGGGACTTGGATATTGTTCAGTCATTATCCAAAGAATGATTGTGACAACTATGGAAATTGTGTCAATTCAGCATTGCCGCCTTCTCAATGTTTGAAAGTTTCAAGTTTAAATCACATGAAGGGAACTCAATGGACTGGTATCAGGGGTGCATGCGCAATAACCCATTAGACTGCCAGAAAGGAGATGGGTTTATCAAATTTGGTGGGTTGAAACTCCCAGACACTGAAACATTCTTGGGTGAAGGAAAGCATGGATCTCAATCAGTGTAGGGCTAAATGCTTAGAGAATTGTTCTTGTATGGCCTATACAACCTTAGATATTAAAGAAGCTAGCAGGTGTGCAATCTGGTATTGTGATCCACTTGATCTTAAACAGGTCCAGTTTTCCGGACAAGATTTATACATTCGAATGTCTGCTGCTGATTCAAGTATTGGGTTACTCTTTGTTCAACCTAGCATTTCATTAAGTTATGTTATGATTCCTAATTTCATATTTATGTTTGGTGTTACCAATTTTAATTTCAGTAAATATGTGAATCTAGTTCATTGCTAGGACTCTAATTCATATATTTCTTTGTTTTATGGAATTTAGACCATGAAGAGACAAAAGGCAACGAAGCAGGGTAGGAAGAGGTAAAACAAATAGAAACTAAGAACTTCGTAAAATTAAAGATGGAGCCAATAAAGCTTAGGTTTGCAACCTCAAGTTTATTCTCAAAGTAAAATATCATAACAAAATTCATTTAGAGATCTAAAGATAACTATATATACTAACAGTAGCCAAGAATCCTAATTTAATACTAATTTAAACTTCTTATAACCTACTAATTTTAGTCCTAATCAGAAATCACAAGCTATCCACATGACTTTCCTAAAATTAAAACTTAGACTCCAAACCAAATAAAACTCAAACTAAAACAAGTAATTGAAAAAATTAAAACTTCATCCTCCCGCATCATTCTCCCCGGGTTGGAAATTTAGCTTCCTTCAAATTGAAAGACTTGTCAGCTTTAACATGTTTATCTGGATCAATTTTTCTGAATTTTCTCTCTGCAATCCAGGTGCTGTCAAATGTATATTTATTTGGAGCAGTTTTCTTCCAGGAAGTCCTCCAAAAATGTCCCTTAAACCTTACACCTCTATAACGAACAATGGATGTTGGAATATGTCGTAGTCTCATCACTTCTTCCAAAAATAAATCAACAACTTGTGTGGCATCTGAAATTTTAGAACAAAAAAAGAAGTCTGCTATTTTTTTGTATAATTCAAACTTGTAGGTAGGCAGATTAGTTAAACTAGTAATAAAATCAAAATCATGTTGAATATTCAACATTGGCAGCATCCCTTTTGGTAATTCCTTATTTTCTGACCCTTTAATCTCTTCTAATAGCTGCAGATTTTCATTAGGCTACATAGAATTTTCTGCTTTTTGTTCTTTTCCCGACAGCTTATTTAGAACAGCATATATGATTCCTGCCTCTTGACTTTTAGCTTCAAATTTCTCAATATTGCTGTCAGCTAGAGATTTTTTTTCTTGATCGTCTTCCCTTAAAAAATGACTCCTCCAGTCTTGTCCTTCTTCTTTTGTTGTTGTCATCACTCTCCTAATCACCAAGGATTCACCTTGAACTGGAAAGACATCCACTTCTCCATTTTCCACATAATAATTATCATCATAAATTGGTTTGGAAGTGTCACTGAATTCCTCTTCAAACTCAGTTAGGTTCACTGACATTGGGGACAAGCATAAGAGTAGTGTCCCCTTTCTCCACAACTAAAACACTGAATTCTTGAATTGCCTGCTTGATTGTTGGAACTAGATGCTACATTCTTACCTTTGTAAACAGCCCCATTGGTCTTGTTGATGATGGCAGTCCCTCGACCTTAATTATTTCCTTGAAGATTATCACTTGTTCGCACAAACATAGGTCTTCTGG